TAATAATCACTGTAGGTTTGTAATCTTGTCAGCCGAATCAAAATATTGATGTTTGAGAGTTGTAATATTTTAAAATTTGGGCTCATGTTCAGTTTATGCTATCCCATTGTATATGTGATATGTAGGCACAGTGTCAACATAATTACATGAGCTTTTTATTGTCTTTGTTAATTTTTTTCTGCTAAATTTATATTTCATTCTAACCTTTATTTTAAATTTTGATTCTTTTATCTAATGCACTGGGGTTGTCTGCAGCCTTTAGTCTGAAATTAAATTAGCATCCAGGTGTGATGGCACATAGTCCTTTGTCCCTGCTACTTGAAATTTTGAAAGATTGAGGTGGGAGAATCACGAGTTTAAGGCCAACCTGGGCAACATAGCAAGACACTGTCTTTAAGGAAAAAAAAAAAAAAGTTGATTACTACATATCCTACTTTTTCAAGCCACAAAATTGTGGAATTTTCTATCTTAAAGGATCTAAAATGTCATAAAAGTTGCCTTGTTTTAGGGATAAGAGAACTTAGGTCCTGACAGGATAAATAACTCTCCTATAGTTACACAACTTATTAACAGAAATTATGATCTAAAAATGAACTGGTGAACAAGTCTGTGAACCAAGTCTAAAACACATATCATTACCAAGAGCTCTTATTGACTTGTGGGGTTCAGTTGTTCAATGTAAACAAGCATGCATTTTTCTCCATTATATCCACATATACTATGTTACCTTGACACAGTCTAACAGACCTTAAGCACTATCAGACAGGAAGTAAGGTTGCCTTGGAATGACTTGTTTCTAGTGAACTCTACTAGTCCCTTATAACAAACTACATTTATTTCCAAATAATTGATAAAAGTATTTGTATTTAATATTTTCTAATTTGTGATTTTTACAATCATTTTGAAAAATTCTAATGTTTTCCAAATTCCATTCTTTTGACATGTCTTTTTATTTAATAAAACAAAATGAGTAATGTATTTAAACACAAACCTAACTAACCATTTGAAATTTTATGATGTGCCCGAATAACAATGTGTCAACCTATTAAGGAAACCAGGGAGAAAAACCTTTTATTTTAACACTAGATTATGGTGCAAATATGTAACTTTGAATGCTTTTATTGGAAAAAAGAGAAAATGAATAATGAATGAGGGCGTGAATGAATGAACGAACCAAGTCTTTGGAGAGCACAAGGAAAAAAATAACAAGAAAAATATAAATTAGAATACTGAGAAAAAATAATTTAAAATAAGCTGAAAACTGATTATTTGACAAAAATACAGATAAGCACCTAACAAAATTGTATTACAGAAAGTGAAATAAATATTGGCTATATAATATATCTAAAAAATACGTCTCTAAATAGAAAGGAGATAAACCAGGATGGTGTCAAGATTTGATAACAGGAGATAAGAAGTTGTGGCAAGATGGTAATTTTTTTTTAAGTTTCAGAGGTTTTAAAAGTTAAAACGGGTCATGACTCTGGTATTTACAAAGATACTACAGACGTGAGAGTCATGTGAGTTGAGTGAGGGTCAGAAAGCTACACTATATGAAACTAAGAGGGTAGTGAGGGGCTAGGAAGAGACAGTCTCTTTTCATAGTATCATAGTGTTCGATTTTCATAGATTCAGAAACTGAACAAAAAGAGCCCAACAATGAAGTTAATTTCGAGCTGGGGTATGGTACAGGTATTTTGAAGAGATTCTTGGGTCTTCAGAAAATGTCTCTATTGCTATTGACTTGACCTGCTAAATGAGGTGGCACCAAAACTAAGTTCTTGGTACAATTTTAAAACAATTGCTTCTATGTTGCACTGTTTTTAGTAACAGTAAGTAAACAATAGTAATGAAAGATCTGATTACACAGAATGACTCAACAGATTCAATACTTAATGTCTTGTTGACTCCAAGTTCCCCTGACTATTTGCACCACTATATAATGCACTCTGTCTTTGATCCAGTCTAATCCCTACTGTCCCATCAAATCATCAACAACTGCATTAATTATCACATGCTTTAATGGTACACATCACAACCACAGTACTTGTTGGAAGTTGTTCAGTATTTTATGTGAAGAATACTTCTACTTGTATTTCAGATCTAAATTAGTTAACTTTGACATTAAAAACTTGCATGAAAAAAGAAATCATTGACAGCATACTTTCCCTAGAAGTACACAATTTTCAGTTTTTTTATATCTAGAAAATACAGAGTAACCTTTAATAGTCATTTTGAAAAGAAAACTGCTTCTGGAAGCTCTGGGTATTGGATAATGGGGAGAAGAGTTAAAAACAACAACAGAAAAATGTTCAAAAAAAGGAAAACAGCACTCATCTCCTTCTAAGAGCCATTCAGATGAAAAATTACTTGGTATGAGCTTGATCTATATGTTTTCCATGGTTATTAGTAGTAATGAAGATGCATTAACCATATTCTCTTGATAATGCTCTAGCTGTTTCTTAGTACTTTTATCAACATATAAATTTTACAACTGGCAATATGGGAATTTGACTAGTACATTTTTGTTTATAAAAAAGGGTAACAACATTATAACTTCTTCATATCTGTGAATTATGAATCTTGACTTGCAAACAAGTAAAACTGAAATGCAACAGAACTTCAATATCATGAGAGCTCCTCTTTCTACTACCACTCACAAAAAATAGGAATACATAATGCCAGGTGAATGCCTACTTAATCTAGAATTTATGTGTTCTTTTTATTTTGTTCATTCTTTTTTCTCAGGAAACATGTATTGAGAGCTTTCCCTGTTGCCAATCTGTAGTATCTGTAAATTGACAGTGGTCTACTTCATTAGGAAGCAACCAAAAACTAGAAAATAAGTGGTGCCTAAGCAATGTGTATCCTTATCTCTATAAGGAAGCATTATTTTTCATAGTTTTCAGAAGACCATTAAATAACTCAATTCTCTAAAGATGAAATGTGGTACAAAAAGAAACCATTTTAGTTTTCCGCAATTCACTGAGTTATAAATGAATAGATTTTTTTATTCAGAAAGCTGAATCCCAAGTTTTAAATTTGATTTCTCCTATCTCCAAAGTAGTGTAAGCCTCCAGTACCTAGCCCATAACATTAACTAATACCATTAGAGAAAACTTACAGTTCTCTTTGTTGTGAATATATGGATCCATTCAGATCCAGAGTGATATGTAGTCATGTTCATGTTATAGCTGACATACTAAAAAAGTAGAACTACTATATGTGTGCTGCCAGATATATCTGAGAGAAGGAAATGATAATAAAATTCAACTTGAACTGAAATCACATGATTGTTTTGCACTTTTATGAAAAGAAAACACTTTTCTATTAATGACTTGAGCAGTAAAAATATAAACTTTTGCTGAGCACAGTGGCACACATCTATAATCCAGCTACTTGGGAGGCAAAGGCAAGAGACTCTCAAGTATCAGCAACTTGACCTGTCTCAAAAAATAGAAAGGGCTGGAGTTAGAGTTCAGTGGTAGAATGTCCTTGGTTCAATTCCTAGTACTGGGGTGGGGTGTAGGAAGTGGAGGGCGTATTGTCATGAAGTTGGGCTACTTCCTACAACTAAAATAATTTGTAATCATAACTAGTCTTCAAGAGTATTACTACGAGGCATACTGCAAGATCATGAGTCAATGGAGAAGTAATTGTTCATTTAATAATTATTTGTTCAGTGCCTTCTATTTGGCCAGATAGTTATAACACAGATGCTGGCAAACCATAGGACCCAAGAAAGTAAGTTGGAGGAGAGTGGTTAGGAAGTTGATAGCTGCTGAGTGGTAGAGTAAAACAAGAATGAATCTTCAAATCTGCAATACAGAAGTCATTGGTGACCTTGAATGGTTTTAGGAAGGTAGCAAAGAGGCCACCACAAAAGCTTAATGGACTAAAGACTTCAGAAGTAGCATATGAAGATACCTTGAAAAAACATAATTAGAGAAAGAAATGGGATGGTAACTGGATAGGAATGGGGCATGAAAGGAGAAATTGTATACACCCATACACTCTCACTATGGTGGCTTGCTAATGGAAATGATAGAGTAGAGAAGGGGAAATGATGATACAGGACAGGAGGCTGTGGAGTAACAATATTAAAAGAGGAGAGGAGATGGAATTCAGCACAAATGGAGAAGTTGGTCATTGCAAAGAACGGAGACTTTTCTTCCTCTGTTAGAGGAAAGATTTCAACCGTGGGTAGATGCAGCTACCATTTAACAAACACTTAAAGCACCTACAGTGTTCTAGGCCATGGCAATATAGAAGTATTAACAAAGACAAAAATCTTTGCTCTCGTGAAACTTAGATTTAATTGGGGGTTGGAGGAGGTAGACAAATAATAGCAAAATAAATACATAGTATGTCAGATAAGGAAAAGTGCTGTCAAGAAGTGAAGTTAGAGGATATGGAATGCTGGGGCAGATGGGTAATTGCAGTTTTAAAGAACTAGACGCTTGGCATAACTTTTATGACTTTACTTCATGACGCTCAGAAACATTTGTTTTTAAAATCAGATTAAATGTGGCCTATTACCCATGTGCCTAGATTTGTGGGATATCCACTCTTAGGCTTATTTCACAGGTGCCCCCTTTTGTAAGCACCCCAGAACATGCCAAGCCCTGTACCTCTCTTTTCTAGTGCGTAGTACAGGTTTCAAATATATACTTATTTATGTGATTTTATTAATATATTTCTTTTCTACTAGACTCGAAGCTGTATCCTCAAAACCTAATAGTGTTGGCACATAATAAGCCCTATTTGTTGAGTGAATAATGAATGAAAAGTAGTAAGATTGTTTGACATAGCAATGTTTTTAAGAATCTCAGTATTTCATTATTCTATGATCACTGTAAGTTTTTACTTCTTACTTTATGTAGCTCATCTAGTAAATGGCCTTTTTCACAGCATGGCAAGTTATGTTTTCATACCAACAATATAGGTAAAATAAAGTCATCCTCTAATTTATATCACTTTGCTTCATTTTTCTTTTTTAGGACCAATGCCAAAGGTGCTCCCCTGAATATAAATAAAGTTTCTAATAGCCTGATTAATTTTGGAAGAAAGCTGATTTCCCCAGCAATGGCCCCAGGCAGTACAGGTGGTCCTGTACCTGGGAGTAACAGTGGCAACTCCTCCTCTGCTGCTTTCCCCACCAGGACCTCAGCAGAAACCTTAAGGCATCATTTGCAACCACAGCAGCAGCAGCAGCAGCAGCAGCAGCAGCAGCAGCGGCTGATGAAATCCGAAAGCATGCCAGTGCAATTGAACAAAGGTAGGAAGAAATTACTAGTAAATCCACAGAAAATACAGGGTAGCCTGGGTTTTCCTCACCAGCCTATGAGGAATCAACCTCCCAGAAGGAGAAAGTAATGCAAAACACTTATTTTTAAAAATCTGTTGCATTTGATCTTTGTCAAGCTGAAATATCAGATACTCTATTTTTCTTAATTGAGAACATTTTATCAGGTAATTTACTAAGATTTTTTTAAACTTGTATATCCTAGTATACTTGCATTTTTGGCCTGTGGATCCCCATACTATGTGATGGTATGAAATGTCACAAGACAGGACTTTAAATCAGTTGACTGTGTTCTCTGCAACTTTATATAGTAATGCTGGCAAAGAGAGTAATGCTGTCTTTCAGAAGAGAGTCTGAAATGAGAAGGTCTAAAACTTTTCCAGTCATAGCATTGATCAGTGCATTGCAATGGCTTCTTGCTTCTCATGCAGCTGCTTCACCTCTAAAGAATAAAAACTAGAATCTTAAGGGAAAAAAATATCTAAAAAAAAATCTCATGTAACCAAGATAAGCATTTGAATCCATGAACCAAATGTTAGCACCATGGGCTGTAAGAGCAGAGGAAAGCTGGGAGACCATCCAGCCCACAACTCCCATTTCATGAGTGAAGACTCTATGTGCTACTGGCTCTCAACTAAGCTTGCTTCTGTTTCAGGGCCTTTTCTCAGAGCTCTACCTGCCTCTTGCACTTTACTCCTAAGAGATCCCTTCAGGGTCTTTCTTGGGATCTTTATATTCTTGTTTTCTACTTATTTTTAAAGAGATATGTTAGGATCCTGTATTTGTAGCAGATTAGAAACAGCTACCTTTATTTTTAGTGGTGGAACTGTGCTAAAACTATAATACAAAAATAGTGAAATCATGGCAGAAAATATACCAAAAAATTAATTCTAAGACCTGAGAAAGTATAACAGTCTGGAGCCATCTAGTGTCAGAAAAAAACGCCTTAACCCAAGCCCCATTCATGTCATAAAAGGGATCCCAGGGCTACATCAGTGTTCAGTACTTAGTGTTGACAGTAAAAGGAGGAATATTGTCAGTACAAGACCTTGAATTCTGTTCTATCTACTCTGTTTAAGATTACATTTGAAATTATTAAAAATTTTACATATTGGCATTTAAGTTGGAACACTAAAGTTAAATAGATTTTATTCCCCAGTGATGCAAATTAATGAATGTATTAATACTCACATATGGGCATGCTTATCTGTATTCATCCATGGCTTATAGGATGTTATCTGTCTTTTCTATATATCTTTGCCTATATGAAACATTAGACTTGATATAATTAGTATTTACACTTTTTGTTAGCACGTTCAGTTTACCTTACATGAGATTATCTCATTTAAAATTGCACTCTTTTAATGTAGAGCTGTCACACATGATTTAAAGAAAAGGGGACTTTGAATCATGTTATAGATGTATTTAATGCCAGGAGATGTGCCCACTTCCAGAATGGAAATGAATGTTATTTTGTATATTTCTTAATTGTACATTTTATTGTTCTAAACAAATATGATTTCAATATTGCTTTGATAACAAGCTTTAGTCAGTTGTAATTCTAACTGATGGCAGGCAAATGAGTCAGAGAATCTGTTAATGCTGTAGCTTAAATTTTCTGAGGAACCAAGCCAAATGATTATAGAAATATAAAGTTGTGTCTCTAAGGAAATGTCAAGTATTAATATCACCGTAAGTGAGAAAGGAAGTGCATGGAGATGGAACAATTGGTGAAAACCAATCCCCAGTTATGAAGAGAAAACAGAGCACTTAAATAAAGTATTTGGAACACGAGTATCACTGGGGCATTTTGTAACTCATCCCTGTCCTGAAAGAAACTGGCTTTATTTTAACTCTTCCATATTTTTACTTATGGTTCATTCTTCTCATGTCATTCTACCAAAAAAGCTTATCTGCCTTCATATTAAATACAAATAAGTATTCCTGCTGATTCTCCTCCCTGCATAAAGGTTTGAATAAAATAAAGGATAAAAATACAGTTTATAGAAGTACAAAAGTGTACTTGGATGTTGCTCCTGACTTCACTCCTGGAGAACTGTAGACTACAATGGAAGCCCTCTGTTTCCTCATCCTGAAGCAAGGTTTGGACTGATTCCTAGGTGTCCCCCAGCTCTAAAAATCTGTGGTTCTTTTAGTAAAAAATGTATTTGTTAACTCTACAATGAAAAATACTTCAATATTAATTCTTTATGCTGATAAGTCCCACAAATATTCTTCTATGCTGTCTCTGACACATCTGCAAGTGTATCACCTGAAATCAGTGAACACAGTAGCCTTCCAGGAGGCTTGTGTTAGGGTATGATTTCTGACTTTCTAGAGCAAAGTTGTCTACTCAGTGTCCTTGAGAGAAGATAATTTAGTGTACTTTCCTGGAAATTTTGAAAATTGTTTTGAAAAATTATTGTTTATAAAGATGAATAAGGTTTTGTTTTTCATAAGTTAACAAATATTTGTGTTTATAGGGGGACAATTGTGTTTGTAATCCAAATTCACACATGTTGTTTGAAATGCATTATGTAATACATGTATGTGTTGTGATAGAATAGTGAGGAAGGAAGAGTTAGCAAAGATGTTCTCCATAATTTTATTAATGATATTTATGTTAAAATGAGTTTTCAACCTCTACATATAGATCAATAGATGATCTAGAATTAGCCAACTAAATCTCCTACAAGTATACAGAAATCAGACCTACCATTGTTCAGTGAATTTAGAATTAACTATATTATGAAAATTCAGGACCTGACCATTTCCACTAGAAGCTGTTTGCCACAGTTTGGGGTATATTCTTTTTTAGAAATTTTATTTCAGTTATAGGGGAATGTAAATGTGTGTATGTTAATTACTTGGTGATGATAATATAATTACAACCCAACAATTTCCAGATGAATTGACCATGTTATAAATCATAATTGCAGCAAGAAGCCAGTGACACTGAGGGCATGTTACTGAATTCAAAATTTGATGTTTTTACCTACTGTATATTTTTTATATAAAAGCTGAAGGAGAAGCAAGTCCATTAATCATAAATTATCATACATGGAAAATATATGCCTTTTTAAAAGTCTCTGTTGCTCATTAATCCCAAAATACCATAGGTGATGATATATCCAGAGGAGCATTCTGTTGACAGTGACTGTGCTCCTTATTGAACTTTGTTATCCAGGAAGGAAATCAAAGAACCACAGAGTCTTCCTTCTAAATATTAGTGAACCTTAGGTTCTTAACAGAATTTTCTGTTGGTGCTCCCTTTCCTTTCTTTTGTGTGTTCTTAAAATGCACTCTTTTTTCCTTTTCCTTCCTCTTTCCTTTGTCTGTATTTGTACTTGGTTTTTTGAATTTGAGCACTACTTTATTTTAAGCATTTACTACAGGTCCAATTTGTAAATGAAATCTTGCCTATAATTATATCAAGTGAAGGGTATACAGTTCACAGATTTATTTTTAAACATTGACATTTGTAAGTACATGTGGCAACTCTTTTCATTACCTAATATGAAGTTAGAACTTATTTAGACTTTATCACTGAAGAAGTTGTTTTCAAGTTAAGTTAAAAATAAATTTTGTCTGATATAGAAAGAAATCAATTTCAAAAAAAAGGTCTGTGAATAAATGACATATAAACTTTCAGATTCAAAGTTTTTAAAAAAAAGAATGTATAAATAATCACAATGAACTCTGTGTAGCAAAATCTTTTGATTATGAAAGTTTCCTGTATTATAGTCTATTATAATAGACTTGTTCACTTTTCTTTTGGGAAATACAAACAAAAACTTATTAGGAAACACTGTTTTAAAAATTTGTTTCCTGTCGGGCATGGTGACACATGCCTGTAATTCCAACAATTTGGGAGCTAAGGCAGGAGGATTCAGAGTTCAAAGCCAGCCTCAGCAACTTAATGAGGCCTGAGCAATTCGCGAGACCCTGTCTCTAAATAAAATATTTTTCTTAGAAAGGACTGGTGATGTGGCTCAGTGGTTAAGTGCCCCTGGGTTCAATCCCTAGTACCAATACAAAACAAAAAAATGTATTTTCTTAAACTGGGCATGGTTGGTGCACACTCTGATTCCAGCTACTCTGGAAGCTGATGCAGGAGGGTTCTGAGTTCAGGACCTCTCTGGGCAACTTAGTTAAATCCTGTCTCAAGATAAAAATAAAAAACACTAAAATGAATCTCAGTGAAAAAGCACTCTTGGGTTTAGTCCCTAGTACTATTTTTTCCTTGAAAATATTTTATATTAATTTTTCTAAGCTTGTGCTATATTTTTAGTAATAAAATATTACAACATTGAGTATGAAAGAAAAGTTTCTTATTTCTTCTCTATGGAATCTAATTATTTTTTCTTATGAAATCCAGGCGATATAGTTACAGGAAGCGATGCTCAGGTTTCTGTTCCTGTCCAGACTCTAACTGACCTCCAAGGTACAGTTACCATAGCAACATTTTGTGTGTGTGTTTCTGTCTGTCTGTCTGTGTCTGTGTCTCTGTCTCTGTCTCTGTCTCTCTCTCTCTCTCTCTCTCTCTCTCTTTCTCTCTCTCTTTCTCTCTCCCTTTCTCTCCCTCTCTCTCTCCCTTCCTCCCCCTACAGTATTATCATTCCCTACTCCAAAACTCAATTTTTCCTCTTGTCCACAGTTCGTTCACTATCATTGTTTAACCACTGAGTGGCACTGTTGTGTAGAACAAAAGTCCCCTTTCCTGTCCCATAGCTTGTTGATGTTGAAACAGACTCTGATGTGAATTTTCTATTGAAGTGTACACAAGCCTCTTTATTTGAAAAATATGATTCCATCTGTATGTTTTAGTTATTTTAACATTATACTTTGTAGAGAAGCTGATATCAAGGTGTTCTTATTGCTGCAAAGGTACTTGGTGACAGTATTTGACATACTAGTTTTGAGATGTTCTATGATTAGCCTGAGATACTTATATTTTACATAAAAGAATTACAACGTGTTTTTGTAAATGTTTTTAAGTATAGCCTTTATATAATGAATTGTATTAACACAAAATATGGTAAGGCAAATTTTTATATATACTACTTAGCCACAGTTTAACATAAAAAAAGAGAACATTTGCCATCATATCCATTTGTGCAATATGAAGAAAAAACAGTTGAATAAATAAATGAAATTGGTAATCCCATTTTCAGCACTTCCTGTGAGATTTTAAAACATAAAAATATTTAAGGTTGCTGCATTAATCTTTTATTATGTAGTCTTGTAGATGAAATATGTCATAGAGAGGGTTTCTTTGTTAAGTGGATACCTATACTAACTAAAAGAATCTTCCCTTCAAATTCAGACTAAGATAATAGCAATACAGTATTAATAGTCTTATGTTTTGCTTAATTTAAAACATTCACATAAAATAATCATGCTAATAGTATTAAAATACTGTTCTGATAGTGATATGTCCTCATAATATTCATTTTAATAAATTAACAGCAAAGAATGGATTGGGATTAAGAAATAATTGATGTATTGGCTTGGATTTTTTTAAAAAAAACTATACTGTGGCAATAAAACAGTATGCTTTCACTTCTATATATAGTTCTCTGATTGACAGATAGTTTCTGGCTGTATTTTGGTAATTGAACTAGATGACCTTTAAGAGCTAGCTCAGGGATTCCATGAAGAGCTGTTGACTCTTCTTGGTGTCTGCTAAAGTGAATTTTTTTTATAATGTAAATTTTTTTGTTTATATGACAGCAGAATGCATTACAAGTTTTATTACAAATATAGAGCACTATTTTTCATATATCTTGGTGTATATATAGTATATTCACACCAATTCATGTCTTCATACATGTACTTTGGATAGTAATGTCCATCACATTCCACCATCATTAATTACTCCATGCCCCCTCCCTTCCCCTCAAACACTTCTGCCCTATCTAGAGTTCATCTATTCTTCCCATGTTTCTGCTCCTATCCCATTATGAATCAACCTCCTTATATCAAAGAAAACATTCAGCATTTGGTTTTTTGGGATTGGCTATCTGCTAAAGTGATCTTGATGATAAAAGGTTATGATGATAAAAGGTTACTAGCATGGACAGTAGAAAAGAGAGATAATGTCCATATGATTTATCTTTAGCCTTGTCAATTATGGTTCTTGGGTAGATATTAAATTGATCATCTGATATGGAGAAAATTCACAGGAGTTAAATTCATTTCCTAAAATTAAATTCTGAACCCCCAAAGACAACTTTTTTATCATGTGTTTTTTTATCCCACAGTTAATTGCTACAGAGAAGGTTTTTGGTTTCTCTACAAGATGTGGGCTTTGAAGTCAGTTTATACCTGTGGACAGAGGAAGCTGAGGGTTGGCTTGCTTATTCTGATTTCTGCTTCTATACTATTGTTCATTTCATTTTTTCCTGCAGACCGGAGCCACATGAGCAATATTATGTTTTAAAAACAATATATTGAAGAAGAATGTTATATCATTTTGTTCAAATAACTTGTGTTATATAAGTAGAATCATTTCATAAATATATCCAACAGTATTTTCTAAGTACCTACTACATGCCAAGCTCTGTTTTCATTAGCCCCTTGGCTTCCTACAGCTTCAACCAGCTGTCTTGGGCTATTACCATTGCTTTAGATGACCCCTGTCAAGCGTACAGGCAAAAACCACCTCTTTTTTGCTGAATACCTGTTCAGAATCCCCTCTGCCTGCACACTCTGACAGAGATCATATCAGCTTGATAGGGACAATTCCAGCTACTTTATGAGTCCCAAATAAAGAGTTCTCAGTCTGTGATGATGAGTGACAGAACTGAGAGAGTGAGGTGACACCCATCCTGATTTGGATGCATATTTCCTTATGCTCAGTATACTTCCTGAAGAATGCCAAAAAGTGAGAGGAAATAGAAACCAAAACAGTTTATGGCCCCAACAAAAATCAACTATCTATACTGAATAGCATCAATAATATTAGAAGTTGGAAAATTTCATCAGGAATGCCAGACCTGTTACATTATCCCTTATGTGTAGAGTAGATACTTTACTATAATTTCAGGGAAATTTAGCCTAAATAATAGGCTTTCCCAAACTGTCTTTTTTCAAAGTAATAAAATAAATTTGAAGAAATAAGTATCAATACTTAACAGAGGTTCTTTGATTGTAGTCTTTTTTTTTTCTTTTGTTTTTTTTTTTTTTTTTTTTTGGCAGGGTTGGGGGTAGTTTACTAGGGATTGAACTCGGGGCACTCGACCACTGAGCCACATCTCTAGCCCTATTTTGTGTTTTACTAGAGACAGGGTCTCACTGAGTTGCTTAGTACCTTCCTAAATTGCTGAGGCTGACTTTGAACTTTCGATCCTCTGGCCTCTGCCTCACAAGCCACTGGGATTACAAGCATGCACCATCACGCCTGGTCTGATTATAGTCTTAATGAAATTTGATATTGGGACCTTTGCCTTTTAATGTACAATGGTTATTGGGTTGTAATTTTTTAGGGAAAAGGTGTAAAGTGAGATTTCACAGTGTAGGTCAATAAGTAATTTTTAGGAAAGTATTGGAAAATTTCATTTTATATCCTGAAATGTAAGTTATAGTTACACACACACACACACACACAACCATGACAGAATTTGTTTTTGATACTTAACTACTTGGGGTTTTATTAAAATTAGTTTAAATTTCTTAAGTAATTACCATAGCAATGTTATGTTTTTAAAAAGAATTTTGAATTTATATTTATATGTATGTATGTATGTTATGGGTGTGATGCACAGAGAGGTATCAATATTGTACTTGTCACATTGTTTTTTAATACAAAAAAGGGGGGAAGGGTTGGGGTTGTGGCTCAGCAGTAGAGCACTCGCCTAGAGAGTGCGAGGCGCTGGGTTTGATCCTCAGCATCAGATAAAAATAAATAAATAAAATAAAAGTATTGTGTCCAACTACAACTAAAAAATGTGGGAGGTGGGGGTGTCAGTCTCCCTCTTCAGGTAACCACTTTTGATATTCTTAAGGTAAAACTAAAAATGCATACAACATTAAGTAAGCCCAATTAATTGAAGATATTAAAGAAGGGGAAGGGCCCTCCACTTTCTCCTCTTACCTCTTTCTGCCAGCCCACTTCCCCAAGGGTAACCATTGCTAAGTTTCTTTTGATTCCTTCCAGTGAGGGGCGGTGACTGAAATTGAGGAGTAACATGGGAGTCACATTAATTTGGTAAGAGCCCTCTTGTCTGAATATGACTTCCCCTTTGGACTATCAAGATAAAATGTAATAGAAATGTTCCAATATAGATAATAAGCAGAAATTTGATAGAACAAGAAAGGGGAGGCCAAGTCAACAGGAATAGGACACAGTAAGACAAGAAAGAGACAGTTCTGTTCACAGGAGTGAAGCAAGAGACCAGCAACAGCAACATTCCTTCTGGGGGACACTCTGCTAGCTACTCTGATAGGTATGACAAGTAGTGGTCCTGAAGCAGAACGTATGGTTCCATTGTGTTTGGTAAAATCACTTTAAGGCAGAGGAACGTGTTATATGTAAAATGACTTCTGGGAAGCATGAATTAGCTAGAAAATGCATTTTTATGGAATATCTATTTCAAATACATGGAATAGTGAGTTGCTTTTGGACTGAGAACAAGGTCAGAATTTGGTCTGTACTTTCAAAAGTCCTCATTCCATTCTTTAATTTTAGATCATATTTGCCACAGCCCACTTCACTGTCCTTTCTAGGGTAGTGTAGCTTTGCCTAGGATGGGTTTGAGTTTGAATTCTGGCTCCATCACTGCCTTGTCAAGCATCCTGGGAAGGTTTACTGGTAAAGAGGGAATAAGAGCAACTACTTGAGGTTTGTTGCGGGACCTTATTCCCAGCACTTATCCTATAATAAGGGTTCTAGGCTGCTACCTGCTTAGGTAGTAGGTGTAATGGTAGCACCATTATGTGTTTTATGTTTTATCTGGTTTTGGGAATTAAATTATGAAGGAACCCAACCAACACCTCTGTCTTCTCTTAATAATTGTTTCTGATATTCTAAAATTCGTGTTTGCTTATGAGTCCCCTTAATTTTAGAAAATATCCAAGGCAACTAAAATTTTTTTAAGATTTGTTAGATATAATTACTTACATCATTTTGGAAGAAAATGAAAAAAAAAGTTATAATAGTTCACAAAATTGAAACTTTTTCCAAGGGTAAACAAAATTTAAATGAATCTACCTGGAATTTTAGATTAACTCAGTATTTGAACTATAATGTCAAATATTGAGAGTCTAGAGAATATGAGTAGAGTACCGTAGTCAAAGGAGTAATGAAGAGAATTTCCCAGAGCTGAATGAAGATATTGGCATAGAGTTAAAAAAAAAAATCTGACAAGTAAGATAAAAGTTAAAAAGACCCTTCTCTAGAAGCTCCACAGAAAACTTATAGAACTTCAGGATGAGGAGAAAACT